GCTGCAACGAAAGAACATATCCACTTCAAAAACAAATGTAGAACTGTCATTTACCTTGCCACCAAAGCCCCACAAGGGGCAAACTCAACCAAGCATGCCAATCAAGTTCAAGCAATGCTTAAACTTGTTGGCGGGGACTGGCTTGGTCAACATATCAGCAGGATTGTTAGCTGTACCAATTTTCTTTACCGTCATATTTCTCTCAGCAACTGCCTCTTGAATAAAGTGATACCTGACATCGATGTGCTTAATCCTCTCATGATATGCTTGATTTCTAATCAAGTATATAGCACTCTGATTGTCACAAAAGACAACCGAATTGTCTTCCTGCTGGAGCCCAAGTTCCTGAACAAGACTCCTTAACCAAATACCTTCTTTCACTGCTTCTGCTGCTGCCATATACTCTGCCTCTATAGTAGACAAAGCAACTGTCGACTGTAAGGTTGACCTCCAACTAATAGCCGAACTAGATAGTGTGAAAAGATAGCTAGTTAAAGATCTCCTCTTATTGAGATCACCTGCATAATCGGAATCCACAAATCCCACGATTGAGGTACCGTTGGAACTGTTTCTATCAAACACTTGGCCCAACTCTGCGGAGCCTCTAAGATACCTAAGTATCCATTTCACTGCCTGTCAATGGACCTTTCCAGGATATGCCATATATCTACTAACCACACTAACTGCCTGCGCAATGTCTGGACGAGTGCATACCATAGCATACATAATGCTACCGACTGCACTGGAGTATGGGACACGAGACATCGCAGCCTCCTTGACCTCTGATTGAGGTGAATGTAGAGCTGAGAGTCTAAAATGGGATGCCAACGGTGTACTCACGGGCTTAGCGTTTTGCATGCCAAACCTCTCAAGTACCTTCTCAATATAACTCATCTGCGAGAGATATAACTTCTCTCCTTTCCTGTCCCTCTGAATCTCCATTCCTAAGATCTTCTTGGCAGGACCCAGATCTTTCATCTCGAACTCCTCATTGAGCCGTTTCTTCAAGATCAACACTTCTGACATGTTCTTTGCAGAAATGAGCATGTCATCCATGTATAAGAGAAGATAGACAAAGGATCCATATGAACCCTTCCTAAAGTAGACACAACTATCATAGTTGCTCCTATGACAACCGCTCCCTATCATAAAGCTGACGAATCTCTTATACCACTGTCTTGGTGACTGCTTCAGACCATACAAGGATTTCTTCAATTTACAAACATGATCTTCCTTGCCTTCTACATAATAACCCTCGGGCTGGGCCATATAAATAGTTTCCTCAAGCTCGCCATGCAAAAAAGCAGTCTTCACGTCAAGTTGCTCAAGCTCTAAGTCAAATTGAGCAACTATAGCCAACAACACACGAATGGAAGTGTGTTTTGCCATAGGGGAGAACACTTCATCATAATCAATTCCCTCCTTCTGATTGTAGCCTTTAGCTACGAGCCGGGCCTTGCATCTAGCATTTTCAACACCTGGAATTCCTTCCTTTTTCTTGAAGACCCATTTACACCCGATAGCTCTTTTTCCCTTAGGCAACTGCACCAAGTCCCAAGTCTGGTTCTTGTGAAGTGATTCAAGTTCCTCAATCATAGCAACAGCCCATTTCTCTGATTCTGTGCAAGTAACAGCTTCCGTATAGGTAGAAAGTTCCTGAATACCCATATCTTCTGCTGTCGTAAGAGCATAAGCCACCAGATCAGAGAACCCATATTTCTGAGGAGATCGGGTCTGCCTCCTTTCTCTGTCAGTAGCAATAGAGTATGGTTGCTCCACCTCATCTACAGCTTTCTCATCTGAACTTGAATCAACAGGAGCATTTTGCTCCCTCAAAACATTCTGAGAGGTCTTTTTTGGAAGCTCCACTTGAACCTCCACCTCATTCATATCACTCTCATGTTTTCCTGCAGACTCATCAGCAACTTTCCTTTGATCAAGCATATGCATTTCATTAAATGTAACATCCCTACTAATAATGAACTTAGGTGAGTTAGGTTCCTGGCACCATAAACGATAACCTTTCACCCCATCAGCATACCCGACAAAAATACATTTCTTTGCTCTAGGTTCTAACTTACCATCCTTAACATGATAATAAGTAGGGCATCCAGAAATCTTTAGATTAGAGTAATCACAAGGCTTACCTGACCACATCTCAAAAGGAGTCTTGCATTCTATTGCTGTTGAAGGAGAGCGATTAATCAGATAACAAGCCGTATTAACAGCTTCCAGCCCCAAAAATCCTTTTCCATGCCAGCATTAGAGAGCATGCATCTTGCTCTCTCCAATAGAGTTCTGTTCATACGTTCTGCCACTCCATTCTGCTGTGGAGTGTGCCTAATTGTACGGTGTAGAACAATACCTGCATCTGCACAGAATTCATTAAAATCGCCACCACAGAACTCAAGACCATTATCGATCCTAAGACGTTTGATCTTCTTCCCTGTCTGATTCTCAACAAGAGCTTTCCACTTCTTGAAGGTTTCAAACACATCACTTTTTCTTTTCAGAAAGTAAACCCAAACCTTCCTGGAATAATCGTCAATGAACGTCACAAAGTAAAGAGCACCACCCTTAGATGGAACCTGTGCTGGTTCCCATAAATCGGAATGGATATAGTCGAGTGTGCTCTTTGTCGAATGCGTCCTCGTACTGAATCTGACTTTGCATTGCTTGCCAAGAACACAATGCTCACAGAAATCTAGCGAGGTCGTCTGCTCCTCACAAAGTAAACCACGTTTACTCAAAACTGACATGCCACGCTCACTCATGTGGCCCAAACGCATGTGCCACAATTTCGTTCTATCATTATCAGAAACGGAATTGCTTGTGCCAATTGAAGGACCCATAACTGTGCTACCCTGCAAATAATACAAGTGATTCACCTTGCTTCCTTTCATCACAACCAGATTGCCTTTTGTAACTTTGAGAACTCCACCTCCACCTGAGTACACACACCCAATGGAATCCAAACTGCTCAACGAGATAAGGTTTCTCTTCAAGTTTGGTATATGTCTTACTTCAGTCAAGGTTCTTACTGCTTTGTCGTGGCACTTAATCCGTACAGTACCAATACCCACGACTTTGCATACATCATCATTCCCCATCAAGACTGATCCACCATTCAATGGCTCGTATGTGGTGAACCATTCCCTGTTCGGGCACATGTGATATGATGCTCCCGAATCCATTATCCAAACATCATTGGACAAATTAACAGCAGAGCATGCCGTAAGAACATTGTCTGACGCATTAGCCTCATTTTCGTTTGCAACATTCACCGAATCTTGTTTTTGACTATGCTGCTTATCCTTTTTCTTGAGCGAAGGACAATCTGACTTGTAATGTCCCTTTTTATGACAATAGTAGCACTCAACGTTCATCTTATCTCTAGGTGGCTTAGATTTTGAACGACCAACAGATTTCCCTCGAAAAACTTTATCCCTGCTCTTGGTCCTGCCTCTCACAAACAAACCATCTGCTTTGTTTTCACTGGTATTCCCATTCAATTTTGTTCTCAGTTCTGCAGAATTCAAAGATGCTTTGACATCCTCCAAAGTTATGGATTCACGTCCATAAAGCATCGAGTTCACAAAATTCTCGTATGAGGCAGGCAGTGAACATAACACGATCAAAGCTTGATCTTCATCCTCGAGTTTAATATCTAGATTTTTCATATCCAGAACAATTTTATTAAACTCATCCAAGTGTTCCTGAACAGACGTACCTTCGCGCATCTTTAGGGTATAAAGACGCTGCTTCAAATAAAGTCTCGATGTTAGAGATTTCTTCATGTAGAGACTTTCCAGTTTCTTCCAGAGACCGGCCGCTGTTTCCTCATCGGCGACTTCTCGCAAAACCTTGTCATCTAGAGACAACTGGATCGCGCTATGCGCCTTCTCGTCCATCTCTTCAATCTCAGCCGAGGTCATATCGTCTGGATATTTTCCGTCCAGCGCCCTAACCGTACCCTCTCGCCTCAATAAAGCCTTCATCTTTATTCTCCATAATTCGAAGTTGTTCTGTCCGTCAAAAGATGAGATCTGAAACTTCAAAGATGCCATCTCAAAGAACCCTAGAATCGAATGCCGCTCTGATACCAGTTGTTAGAAACAGACGCGAAAAAACAAATACAGAACACAGGGATTTACGTGATTCGATCACAAGATGATCTACGTCCACGGGCGAGGCAAGACAAGATTCCACTATAATCAAAGAGAGTATAGTTTTCAGAAGTCGAAAAAACAACAAAAGCTCACGGCTCACAAAACTCTCCGAAAATAAAATTCTCTCGTACATCAATGAGAAAACCTAGCCGCGGTATAAATAGTGCTCCCCAAAAAATTTCCTCGGGGACTACGCCTCCGAACCCCCCGAGACATTTGTTCGCTTTCTCCAGCTCGAGCGGACCGCCATAGAGATTTGTTCGCTTGCTACGAGTTGGGCCTATCGGCCCAACCCTCCGCGTCGGGAATCAAATCTCAATTTTTTCTCCACTTTCGGGTCGCACAAAAATATGTTGGGTCTGGTGATGAACTGGACCAAGTACATAAAATTCAAGACATATTTAACAGAAGCGATTTCGTGACCTTTTAAGGAGCACATACACTCATTTGAAGAGCTGATCTAGACGGGTTACCCTTAACTTAGTTTCTCTATAAATAAAGAGTTTATTTGCTCGTTTTCGACAAGGTTAATCATTCCAAAACTCTCTCCTCGATTATATTCTCCTGAAGTCTCGGTGCTAATCGTTTTGATCTTATATTGTAAAGAAATTCAGGTGAGGTTCAAGGTTGGAGATTTCCGTGATCCTAGAAGGGTACAGATCAAAGAAAATTCACAAGGCCACAAATAAGGGTTCCAAACCTCCTAAATAAAATTAATACCGTTATGATGCCATAGTTAGGCTAGAACTATTAGATAAATAAGTTGTTCAAACTCTGCAAAAACCATCATGCAATTTAGATAGAAAGCGCAGCAAACAACCAGATTCAGAATCACGCGCTTGAAGTGAAGTTGAAGTTGGAACAGGTAGTTTGCTTGAAAAGAAGAGAGGAGCAAAATCCAAGCCTTGCTTTCTCCAAGTCAATCTGAACAAGATTATCCTCCAATTGATATCCACCAATCACAATGGACGTTCTCGGGTTTGAACCGCCATCGACGAAACCCAAGCATATGACATCTTCCTTCACTTGCACCATCGAATTCGCACCAAAGATCCTCCAATAAACGCTGCTGCTGTGCATCACCAGATCAATAATCGGCACCGCCGGTCCCACTCTAGTGTACGGTGTGTTGTTGGTGCTAAAACAGTACTTGAATGGCTTAACGGACGAGACCTCAGTCAAGCTCTTGGCTTCTTGTCTGAACACCTTCGTGAAGGCCTCGAAGATTGACGTTTCCATCACAGTGTACGGATTAACGGTGCTGATCTTCGTCCCTCCATTGCCGTCAGTGATGTTCAGAAATGTCGGATTCAGTGGGACTGCTTTTCCATTGATCTTGATGGAGGTGAGGTTTATGAAATAGTCGGTTGACGGGTTACCCTCAAAATAAGATCCTGCGGTGCTTCCCGGGTTGAGGATTAATGGGGTGTACATGAGTGACTTAGAGACCTCGACGTTAGGGAGGAACTCATAAGGGCTGTCGCCGAAGAATATGACACCATTGGAGCTTGATGAAGAGCTCAAGCATATGGCAAATTTTTTTGGAATGTTAAAAGCGGAAGCAAATTGGACAGGGAGTGACACTTCAGATCGTCCGAGCCCAGCTATTCCCTGGAGTGCAAAGAGGTATCAATTAGTTATGGCCTATCTATTTGTACGGACTTCCATATGTACTGGTTAGAGTGCTGGTGATCAAGAACCTTTTTCCAACATGTTCGAAAATGCACACCGATGTGGCGGGTTAAAAATTGCAAAAGAGACAATTCCTTTGTTCTTGGCTATATTGAAATTTGCCAGATAAATTTACTTTTAAAGCACAGACAGCTAAAAAATAAATAAATAAAAGCACAGATAGCTTTATAAATACTTATAGAGAGGTAATCAGTATTTCAACCGGCATTTCATGTCCAATAAATCATGAAATTTTTCATATTGTGTTCCCTTGTCGTGTCCAAGCCATATTAATCATACGAAACTCACCAGAGCACCAGCGGAGAGGCCCTCGAGCATCCAAGCGGAACCGCACGTGAATACCACCCTCGGCACCGCGACTGCCTTGCTTCCCGTCTTCCCATCAGTGGACTGGATGACGGCAGTGTCGTAGGCCATCTCGCCGCCACCGCTAGAGTTGCTAAATGGGTTGTTAGGCAGGTGGCTGCAGGCGTTGTTGTTGCACCCAGGTCGAGGAGGAGAGTAACATTCAGTCACACAAGCACCTGACCCTGAAGCCATGCATATTTGAGAGTCACAAGAAACTGGCCTATAGGAAGATGACACATACCCGCTTTCACAATCCACCCATTGGAAAATCCCACCCACATCAATGGTCAGCTTAATGGGCACAAGTGGTGTTCTTTGCTTGATTTGGGTTGTGTATTGGAGCGTTGAGGAGTCTTTGGTCACAGGAATAACAAGTGCTTTGGGCTGAGAACTTGAAGTGGCTAGGACTTGAGAAGAAACCAAGCACAGGAGCAAAGAACATAAAATGAAACTCGAGGAAGTGACCATTGTGAATAGAGAAAGAAAGATTAGTGACTAATGATGCTTCTTTTCTTGATTGGTGGAGATCGAAGGAAGATATCATGGCCTCTTATATGGGTTTGAACAAAGGTATATGCCTTTAGGCCATGTGATCTTATCAATATTTTAAATTAATTAATCTGGCACCATCAAATGAACAATTTATAAAGACAATGACTGAGACAAGTAGGCACCATGTGATCTTATTATATATCTTAATCGTGGTGGAGAATTTTGTCTGATAATGAGCAACTAAAGTTGCATTGTCGGCTCCTTCATAAATAAATTATAGTTAGTAATTATTGGCGAGGCGACGAGTAGCTGTTGGAACACTCTAACGTGAATGAGTCGACAGTTCGAATAACATACGGATTAAAAAATATCCACTGGAGTTGCATTGAAATCTCACCTCTTTGTTTGAAACCCGATTGATGTAGATCTAAATGATGTCCCTTATTGTATTAGTTTATTCTACTGAGCAAATAGTTGTTGAATTGAAATATGAATTGTGAATCGAAATCTCGAATTCATGAATTGCGAACGAAGAATAGAATCGAATTGAATCGTAAGATACACTAAAATAACTAAAACTAGTTTGTGTTAACACAAAAAACATATAAAGTAAAAACTAAAGATGCAGAATAACAAGTTTTACGTAAAATTCACGATCACATGCCAAGATATCTTAATTTCAAGTGCATGTTAAAAAAAAAAACATAAGATATTGTAGCACATTGTTATCTTAAAAATTATTACATTAAAAAATAAATATACCTTTATGAAATTGACAAATTCTCATTTTCCTAGATATGAAACTATGTTAAATATAATATACACCGTGAAATAGTATAAAACCTACTTTATTTCATAGGTAAAATATAACAAACTATGAATCGACAAAATTGATAGATCCAAATCAAGTTGTTAGATTTAATGGTGAATCGATAGATACACTTATGTTTCGATGTTTGGTAGATTCCTATAGATCATAATGTTTGCACCTTGAACTGTAAAATATAAATTGACAATCGCGAGATAGTAACGAGGGAAAACTGTACTATGAACTGTGGGGTAGTAGTCCACAATAGCTCCCCAACTTTCAACTATTAGAAAATACTTTGCTGAACTTTTAATTTTGTTACCGCTATTAGGTCTCCCTTACTTTTGTAGTTAGCATGTGTAATGCAAATGACTTTTGAAAAGTAAAAATATGTTCAACTTGCATGTGTTAAGCATATGGCTTTTTTCTTTTGACGATTCAAATACTCAAGAGCCCTTTGAATTCTTTGCATGGCAGTTTGAAGGCAAAGAAAGCAGTCACACCAGAAAGAAGAAAGTCAAGCTTTCAAGCTGCCCTTCATTATCTATATCTAAAGGGTTAATTAATGTAAAAAATGATTAATTAATACAAATATACAAAAAATAAGGCAAAAGAACACTACAAGTGCCATAACTTGTGTACGGCGCTCACTTTGGTGCAATAAGTTTTTTTTGGATCACTTTAGTGCTAAAATTTTTGAAAAACAATCACTTAAGTGCTAAAATTTTTGAAAAACGATCACTTAAGTGCCAACTCCGGTGCCGTACATAATTTTTCGCCGGAAATCCGACGTGGCATTTTTTTTATTAATTTCTGAAGTTGACGTGGCTCGCCGGAGATTGGCACTTAAGTGATCGTTTTTCAAAAATTTTAGCACTTAAATGATCGTTTTAAAAAAATTTTAGCACTTAAGTGATCGTTTTTCAAAAATTTTAGCACTGAAGTGATCCAAAAAAAACTTATGACACTTAAGTGATCGTTTTTCCTCCGACTTGGCACCAAAGTGATCCGAAAAAAAGTTATGGCACCAAAGTGATCTCCGTACGCAAGTTATGGCACTTATAGTGTCCTTTTGCCCAAAAAATAATAATAAGAGGAAATGATATCCTCAGCTCATAAATCAAGGATTTCAATTAGTTATCTGAATATGCATAAATCATCCTTTCCTAATAGAGAAATGATGTCCTCATAAATCAAGGGTTCTAAAGCTGTAGAACCAAGTGTTGATTCTACGATCCTGTGATAAAAAATTCAAAACCTCCTATTTATAGAAAATTTGATTTACAACCCTGGTTGGGAATTTGTCTGCTAGAGCTAGAGGAGAGGACGTCGCATCACCGGTCGAACTTCTCCAAATTGATATCCATTTTCTCTTACCCTTAAACTCTTTATTTTTCGCACTGTATGTCAGTAATTTACCTACAGGTAGAAGCAGAATTTAAAAGTAGAGTCCCATTTTATAAAAACTAGTTTACTCCCTTTTTGGTTGATTGATTGTCCGCACCATGTAGCATTTTCTACTCTAGACTGTTCAATCGAATGAGATTTGATTTTACTAGTGCACCTACAAATTTCTCGCCTTCAAATATTATAAATTTCAGTGCATCTATTATGAAATGTACTTTAATTTTGTCGGCACTTTTCTCGATAGTATACATTCACGGGAAAACAGGTAATATCTAACAATAATTTGAGTGTTCTTTTCAATATTTCGTAGTTTATTCAAACTCGATAAAAGGATTCTTTTTGCCGCCTCTCTCATTATAGTATGCCAGTGCCTACAGGTAGCTCACTAATTAATGAACATCATTCATGAACAAGATGACCAAGCATAGTTAGTTGTTTCTTAGTAATCGAAAGTCTCCGACACGAATCGAAAGTTCAATGAGGACTATGACTTGGTGTTTTTATACCTAAACGACGTTGTATCCTTTTCAAATTAAATCTCCCTCTCAAAATAAACAGATCTCTCTCGTGCTCTTTGTAGCCGCTTCTTCTCCCTCACCTTTCCTCCCCTCATCTACAAGCTCTTTGGCTTCGGCAGTGACCCCACTTCCTCTCCCTACCACGGCTGGATCGACACCATCCTCGATTCGAATGACCCCGACCTTGCATCCTGGGTTTTCGGCCTCTTTGACCCTATTGGTGCCCTCATGATCTAGATTTTCGCCGTTGATCGGCTTGGCCTCGTGAAGTTCATGTTCCCGAATGAGTGGTTGCCAGAGTGGGCCCACTTCATGCTCGACGACACCAAGGATGGCCATGTCCTAGCTGAATTGCGCTCTTTGTATTCGGATCAAATTGCCTTATGAATTAGGGTATGAAAAGTTTGGTGAAACTGCTTGATTTGTTAGAACTACAATTTATATTTGGAAAAAAAATGTTGAAACGACATCGTATAGGGTTATTAATGCTAACTTGGAGCATTGGCAAACTACGTCGGCCATAAAAAAATTGACAAAATATTGCTAGTCGGATTTCTGGTGACAAAAATCAGCAATGACACTTAAGTGATCGTTTTTATAAGAAAAATAGTAGTTAAGTGATTCGATAGAATTTTTTGGCACTAAAGTGAGCGTCATACGAAAATTTTGGAACGATAGTTTTTTTACCTCTTAGATCGTCGGAATCTCCACATGAAGCTCCAACTTACTATTAACACCGTAGTCCATTTACTCTGCTGGTTGTGTGTCAGGACTCCTTTTGTCCAAGCATAATAGTCTTGTTGAAGATCACATCTCTGTTGATTAGGAGACCGAGTAATCTGAATTAGTGCACCATAGCCTGTAGCCTTTCACCTCATGTGTATGACCTAGAAATATGCATTTCTTCGCCCTCATGCTTACCATCACTCGCGCAAGAATACATAGGATATATGAATATTGCTAATCTAGAGTAGAGGTGGCGAAATGAGTTAAAAACTCATATTTTAGCTCATATTTAATTTTATGGGTCAGACATGGGTTGGCTTTATTTTTAAATATAAGCTTAGATGGTCATAAATGGGTTACTTATTAACTTAATAGGTCTTCAATGGGTATTAAATAACCACTGGGGTTTGTCCCAGTGGCCACTCTTCCTACTTTGGAAAAGGGAGGTAGGGAGTTCGATTCCCTACCTTCTCAGGGGGCTAGGGGTGGAGATGTGTAGTTTTAGATGTGAGTTTTCAACTCTCACGTACAACTCTCACGTCCTACAAGAGACAAGGTAAAAGTCTGAGAGTGAGTCCAGAGTTAGAATAGGACAGACAAAAAAGAGAGAGTATTAAATTGATCATAAATGGGTTGGCTTTAGTTTTAAAGATAAGCTTAAATGGATTGGCTTTAGTTTTAAAAGTAAACATGTCATTTTTAATTTTTTAAAATTTTTCAGATTTTTTAATGATTTTTTCTTCTCCTTTTTCTTTCTTTTTCTTCTTTCTCAGCTAGTGGCCGGCGGCTAGCCACAGGCGTAGGATGAGCTCGTCGATCTGGTGAGCTTTGAGCTCGCTAATTTGGCGAGCTCAAGTCTTACTAGAGGCCGGCAAGCTTGAGCTCGTCCATCACCTTTGGCCGATTGCTAGCTGTTGCCCATGGCTGGTGATCAACCGTTGAAGAAGGAAAAAAGAAAAGAAAAAAGAAAATAAAAACTAATTAAAAATTGATTTTTTTTAAAAAAATAAAGATAATAATCGTAAAAATTATAAAAGGAGTGCCAGTCATCAGTTGCCGAACGTAGAAGAAAAAAGTAAAAGAAAGAAAGAAAAAAATATAAAAATATATATAAATCAATTTTATTTTTAAAATTATAAAAAAATTATCCACAGTATTTTAGCAATATATATATTTTAATAATTTATAAGAAACAAGTTTTTCTAAATTTGATTTAATAGTAAAGTCTTTTAGCAATACAGATTGGGTCGAGTTTGGGTCGTAGATTTGAACTGCAAAAATATGGGTCAAAATGGGTTAAATGGATCAATATGGGTTAGACCATTTTCAACTCAACCCAAACCTAACCCGACCCGCTTGTTTGACACCTCTATTCGAGAGTGGTCAACAAGTTTCCCCTACCATACTTCTTCAGGAGGGTCTATCACTTGATAGCAGACGATAAAGATCGATTGACTAGATAACAAGCCATATTTATTGCTTAAGCCACAAATTCCTTGTCGAGTCCTACATTTTGA